TCTCCTGAGCACAGGCTGGGAGAGCTGGGGCCGTTCAGCCTGGAGAGGAGCAGGCTCTGGGGACACCCTGTGGTGGCCTTCCAGTACCTCAAGGGGCCTGTGGGAAGGCCAGGGAAGGGCTGGTCACTAGCATGTGGAGCAGCAGGGCGAGGGGCAATGGCTTTAAACTCGAGCAGGGCAGATTTGGATTGGACATTTGGAAGCTCTTTACTATGAGGGTGGTGAAACACTGGAACAGGCTTCCCAGAGAGGTGCTGGAGGCCCCATCCCTGGAGATATTGCGCTCCATCCCTGGAGATATTCAAGGTCAGGCTTGATGGGCTCTGAGCAACCTGCTCTAGTTGGGAATGTCCCTGTGTACTGCAGAGGGGGTGGACAAGATGGCCTTTTGAGGTCTCTTCCAACTCAAAACATTCTATGATTCTAGCTGCCCCTGCATGAGCAGGGTTGGGGCTGTGTTCTTAAGAGGTCCCTTCCAGTTTTGTGACAGTGTTGTGATTCAGGCCTCGAGGTGTGTGGGCCAAGGAGTGTTTTCACTCTGGCTTCTCATTTCGGGGAGAGCTTTTCTGTTTTAAGGCTTCCAAGGTCACTTGCACAGCTTCCCTTTAGCATGTTGTGAAACAATGGTAATCACAGAGATGTGAAGCCTGAAATTCTGGGAAGAGAAACTTAAAGCACTCAAACTTGTGGACCCTAATTGCATTTGAATCAAAACAATTGATACTGGTTCAGTACAAAGTTCTGTTAAGCAGAGATGATCAAAACAAAGTAGTTCCCATAGTTCTGTTTCTGAGGACTTGCTTTTTCTGTGTACATCTTTCTTCTGGGAGTGGGAGATTCCCCCGCAGCAGCTTTCCAGTGAAGGTCTGGGCTTGTTTCTGTGTTTATGTGTAATGCTCACAGGGTGCTGTGAGGCTGCTCAATTAGTGCCCTACTGTTTAATTGTGAAAGAACTGAGCAGGAGCAGCTGTCCTGCTACCCCTTCATCCTTCTGATGTGAGTACTGTGGTGCAGTCAGATGGTGCAGCCCAAGCAGGGGCTTGCCTTGTCCCTGTCCTTCATTCCTCTGGTCTAGAACTCAGAACTTGGGGTGGTGTGTAGATTTCAAATCTCCTTGTGCACTTTGTTCAGAATGAAGCTGTTTGTGTCATGAGCCCTTCCAGACAAAGGGGTGCTAAGCTCCCAGGTCCCTGCATGCAGCCAGGATTGAGAAGCACTTACCTTACAGGTCCTCTTCGTCCTTTCTAGGGGCTGTGGTCTTCATTTCCTGCTCTGGCTGCTCTCTTTCCACTTCCATGTCATGGATGTGCTCACACATGTCAGTGTAAAACTCTGAACCCTTCTTTCCTTGGACATGAAGTTATCCTGCACCACTTCACAGGGTTCTGACCCAGCGTGCTGGTTCTGCTCCCCATCCTGCCTGGGTGCCCATATTTCCAGGAGCCAGCAACGTGCCCTTGGCACAGAGGTGGCCAGTGGTATCCAGGGCTACTCTAGGCAAGGTACTGTCAGCAGGCTGAGGGGGAGGCTGGTCCTTCCCCTCTGCTCAGCACCAGGGGGCTGCCCTGGGCATGCTGGGTCCAGAGCAGAGCTTCCCAGTGTCAGAGAGACATGGACAGACTGGGGAGAGTCCAGTGGGGAGACACCAGGATGCTGAAGGGCCTGGGGCATCTCTGCTGCAGGGAGAGGCTGAGGGAGGTGGGACTGCTCAGCCTGGAGTGGAGAAGGCTCCAGGGGGTTCAATCCATGGCAGTAGATAGCTGCAGGGTGCTGAGGGAACAGAGACAGGATCTACCAGTGGTGCCCAGTGACACGACCAGAGGCCAGGGGGACAAACGGGACCTGAGAAGGGTCCCTTTGAGCATCAGGGAACACTTTTCAGGGTGAGGGTGACTGAGCACTGGCACAGGCTGCTCAGGGAGGTGGAGCCTCTGTCCTTGGAGCTACTCAGAAGCCATCTGGGCATGGTCCTGGGCAGCCAGGTCTCAGTGTCCCTGGAGGAGGGGTGTGGACAAGGTGGTCTCCAGAGGTCATTGCCTGGCTCAGCCATTCTGTGGTTTTATGGTTCTGTATCACCTGAGTTTTGGTTTGACATCAGCTCTCTGCTGCAGGTGCTGCTGGCTCTGCCTCAGCAGTGTTTGCTCTGAGGTGAGACGTGGGCACCCTGACCCTAGCAGCAGGGTTAGTTGTACCACTGAGCAGAGACATCAGTGGCTGTGGTGAGAACAAACAGGGGTGTAAGCAGCTGGGAACTACGTGTGGTGAACTTCTCATGCACTGAACCTCCCTGCCCCTTCATCTCATTAGACATTCAACTGTTAAAAATGGTAAAATCCTCCTACTTCTGGTGACTCAGTGTTGCAGATAACTTTGCTAACACTTTACACTCCCTGATAGAGATCTGTGGGGCTGTAGCATGCTTGGATGCTGAAATCTGCTGTGGCTTTTCCTGTCTGACTCAGTGTTTGATTGCTCTACACTGCTCTTTGTTTCCAGTAGCTTCCTGGTTGCTTATTTTCTAGGCTTTGCCCTCCCTGATAAAAATGCCTTTGTCATCTCTGGGTGCAGATGAAGCAGGTTGTGAAATGTTGTGGTTTGGTGCACTCAGGCTGCTCAGTAGTGAAGGTGTTGAGGGTGTGAGGGCAGGCATGATCTGCAGCTCTCCTCTGGGCAAAGCTGCTGTGGCAGGGAGGCTGGAAGAGGTGATCATAGAATCATAGAATTGTTTATGTTGGAGAAGACCTTTAAGACAAGTCCAACCATTCACCTGACTCTACCAATTCCACTGCTAAACCATGTCCCCTGAGCAGCACATCTACACAGTTTTTAAGCACGTCCAGGGATGGTGATTGAAGCACTTCCCTGGGCAGCCTGCTCCAGGGCTGCCATGATCTTCAGAGGTCCCTTCCAACCCCCACCCCTCTGTGATTCTGTGATGATAACGTGGTCTCACGCCTGCCCTGTGCCTGCAGCCATCCTCTTATGGCTGCAAACAGACAGTCTGGCCTCCAGCTGAGGGCTGTGGGGTCCCTGTGGTGCTGATACAGTGCAGCATAGATGTGGTGCTTGTCCATGTTGCTGGACTGCATAACAAGCCTGGGACCAATCTTAGAGGTTAGTTGTTGATCCTTCGTGGTGCCATCTTGTTTTCCTCTGCTCCTGCTGGAACCTGGGCTGTGGTGTGCTTGAGCACTGTCAGAAGAGTGGAGTGGCACACTCCTGCTGTGGAGAATCCTCGGGCGTTGGCAGGGGACCAGGTGGTTCAGTGGTGCTGCAGGAGGAGGGGAAGGACTGCTGGGCAGTGGCAAGGAGGAAGTGCTGAATGCAGGAAAAACACTTGTCTTGTGTGCACTGTTAAGATCCCTCGGGTGCCCAGTAGAGAGCTGGGGTGGTGGTGCATGGCCCTGGACAGAGCTCGTCTCAAGCTGGTGTCCCTGGGAAAACACAGAGCAGGGCTGAAGAGGAAGACAAAGCATTCAGCTCTGCTTGGTGCTGTGAAGCTGAGAGGACCTGGTGGTGTTTGTGAGCAGGTGAGCACTAGGAATGGTGTGGTCTGACTGGACACCCAAGGGAAGAGACAGCACAAGAAGAAGAAGCAGTCAGCTGTTCCTCAGCTCTGGCTGGGAAGGTGAACACTGGCCACTGGAGGAAGCTCCTCTTCCAGTGCTCAGAGCAGAGGAGATGATTTGGTAGGTGCCACACAGCAAGGCTGGGCTGAGCTACTGAGGAAGGAAGGTCCTTTCTGTCTGATACAGCCCAGAGAACATCTCTGCTCTGGGGCTGGGGACTACTTCACTCTTATTCAATGATCCCTCCTTGGTGTGTCCTGCCCTAGTTCAGGAACAGCTGCAGGAACACAGGTGGTTTGGCACATCCCATGTAAACCTGCCTGGTAGCAATATGGGACCAACTGTGACTGTCCAGGAGGTGACAGAATGGGAGATCAGCCTGAGGGCTGCCATGATGATGGGATGGGATGGAATGGGATGGGATGATGACTCTGTGCTCCCTGCCCTCCTCAGTGTTTCTCCTTGGTGGAGGCAGCCTGGTTTTGGAGAGTTGTTTGCAGTCTTCAGAGATGGCTGTCCTTAAGGCTTATCTTTTTGAGGGAATCCATACTTGTCTTCTGCTCATTGTTCTTGTAGCTCGGAGGTATTCCCTCCCTGCAGCTCTGAGGGGTTTGTGGCTGTTGCTGTGGAGGCCCCTGCTGTCAGGGAGATCATCTCTCCTCCTTCAGCTGCTTTCCTTGACTTCTGTCTGGAGGTGCTTGTGCCCTGCTGATATGTGGAAGAGTTGCCTTGTACATGTGTCCCTCTCCTCAAGCCCTGAGGTGGTGGCTAATTGCAGTGATCTTGGCACCTCTGGCACTTCCCAGGGCCTCTGTTACAGTTGAGCTGCATGTGACATGCTCTAGGCCTGATTTCAGTTAGGTGTTTTCAGGCCCAGCACTTCCCATTCACCTGTGGTGCCCAGGTTTGCTCTTGGAGGGTAATGCTGAGCATAACATGGGACTGACAGAGGGCCAGTGTGCCTCCCCTGTGCCTTGGGGCACCAGGGAGCCCTGCAGCTGCACACATGGCTGGGGGTTGGGCTGCATTTTCCTGCCTCCTGAGCATCCATGACTCTCTTCTAGTGGCGCCGGACACGATTAACAACCATGTGAAGACCTGTCGTGAGGAGCAGAAGAACCTGCACTTCTTTGCCCCAGAATATGGAGGTATGGTGTGGCCACAGCTGCAGGCCTGGCTCTGTGGGCCTTGCTAATGCTTCCAGGCTGTTTGACACCTTGGTCTCAGCTACAGGCTCATGACAGATGCCATGTGACTGGTTCTGGGTTATTGGCCTGCTGAAGTGTTTCAGCTGCTCTGTCCTGTGGCAGCAGAGGAGGGAGAGAAGGCTGTGGGGTTACAGTAGCAGGCTGCCACAGGAGGGGGTCTTGGCTGGCGGGGCCTGCTGAATGCAGGGGTGGACTGATAAAAGAGCTTTATATCTGTGTTGCAGAAGTTGCCAACGTCACCACTGCTGTGGACATTTACTCCTTTGGGATGTGTGCACTGGAGGTGAGTGTGGACCACTGTGGCTCTGGGACAGGGGCAGAAGGAGTTTGTGGCAAGGAAATAGCTCTGTGGAGATGCTCTGGTTGTGGGTGGGTTGGCTTGGTAACAAGCACACCTTGAGCCAGATGCACTTTGCCTCAGAGGGGTCCCTGCTGGGGCTGCCTTGGTGCTGTGCTTGGAAGTGAAATGCTCAGTCACGTGTAGATCATGAAACCCTTCATGTGCTCTTCATCACGCTGTGGGCCTTAATAGGACAAGAGGAAAGGGCCTCAAGTTGCCCCAGGGGAGGCTGAGGTTGGAGCTGAGGAACAATTTCTTGCCCTTGAGGGCTGTCCAGGGCTGTGCCAGGCTGCCCAGGGCAGTGGTGGAGTCCCCACCCCTGGAGGGGTTTCCAAGCCGTGGAGATGTGGGGTGAGGGACATGGGGCAGTGGGGACCTGGCAGGGCTGGGGATGGTTGGACTTGATGATCTTTAAGGTCTCTTCCAACCTAAATAACTCTATGATTCTGTGATTCTTAGCTAGTTCTGAAGTCTGACCCACTGGCTAGTGGGAACAGTCACTGCTACAGACTGTATCTGGAGCTTTGCTCTTCCTGAGGTATCTGGAGGAGAGGACAGATGTGGTCCCTGACTGTTCTCAGCCAGCCTGTCCCCACCTGGTTCAGGTGCTGGTTGCAGTTAGGTATGAGTCTGATGTGCCTGATCCTAGCAGTGGAGTCCTTCTTGTGTCTTTGCAATCAGTAGGCCCAAGCCTAGGAAATGGGAGTTGTTCATAGGAGTATTTTCTGGGAAGAATTGTCAGAAAGAGCCCACACAAAGAATGCTCAGCCTGTGGTGCACATCTCATGAGTGAAGTGGGAGAACTGTAGAAACACAAGTTTCAGGAAGTAAAATTTGAGTTGAATCATAGAACACTTTGGATTGGAGAGACCTTTAAACATCATCTAGTCCAACCCCCAAATCTTAAGACATTTCCTGGAATCTTTTGCCAGCCTTTCCTAGCTGGAAGATCTCTGGGTGCATTGGGTGGAGCCCATTCCTGGGTGGTGTGCTTGCCTTCCTGCCTGTGACAGAGCTAGTGGTGCAGCCAGGAGGGACACTGCTGGGAACTGGTGGTGATCCAGCTGCTGCTTCATTAGAGGATGGGAACTGTCAAGCAGGAGCACAGGCCAATGAATCATGAGATTCAAAGAGGGGGCACTTAGTGTCCGAGGTGATGCTGGCACAGTTCTCGGGTCTCCCTGCCAGTCTCTTGGGGTGTGAGGTACAAGCTGCCATGATGAGACAGTCACTTGCTCTCTGTCTCCACAAACTGTGACCTTAAATAGCACCAAACAGCTGCTGTTGTGATCTCACACTTGGCAGTGGTCTCCCTGAGCACTGCTCGGTGTAGTCAGTAATCCTCAGTGAAGGACAAGAGGAAACAGCCCCAAGCTGCACCAGGAAAGGTTTAGGTTGGACCTGAGGAACAATTTCTTGCCCACAAGTGTGTTCATGGCCTTCCCAGGGCAGTGGTGGAGTCCCCACCCCTGGAGGGGTTCCCAAGCCGTGGAGATGTGGGGTGAGGGCCAGGGGGCAGTGGGGACCTGGCAGTGCTGGGGGTGGTTGGATTTTGTGGTCCTGAAGGCCTTTTCTAAGGTGACGGGCCTGTTTCCACGCGTCCTGCGCTGTGTTTGCAGATGGCCGTGCTGGAGATCCAGGGGAACGGCGAGTCCTCCTACGTGCCGCAGGAGGCCATCAACAGCGCCATCCAGCTGCTGGAGGACCCGCTGCAGAGGGTGAGGGGCGCCGCGGGGGCCCTGCCCCTGCCCCTGCGCCTGCGCCTGGTCTCACACAGCTCTTGTCTTCCAGGAGTTCATCCAGAAGTGTCTAGAGCAGGACCCTGGCAGGCGTCCCACTGCCCGGGAGCTCCTGTTCCACCAGGCGCTGTTTGAGGTGCCCTCACTAAAGCTGCTGGCTGCTCACTGCATCGTCGGGCACCAGCGTGAGTATGGAGCCCCAGGTGGCACCTCTCCCCTTCTCTGGAGCCTCATGAGGCTGTCGTTCAGCTGGCACCTGGAAACCATGCCCTCCATGGTGCTTGTAGCAGGCAGGGCCGGGGGGCCTCGGGGGCAGAGCGGTGGTGACAGCTGAGTGCAGGGCACAGCAGTGCCTGGCCTGCCCCGGGCAGCTGGGGCCTTGAGCAGCCCAAAGCCCCTGGGGCTTTACTGCCTTTCTTAGGCTGGGGGGGAACTGCAGCTGTTCTAGTGTTTTGCTTTGTTTTTTTACATAGATATGATTCCTGAAAACGCTTTAGAAGAAATGACCAAAAACCTTGACATGAGTGCAGTGTTGGCAGAGATCCATCACGTGGACCGGGAGGGGGTCAGGATGATGTGAGTACCCCGTGGTGTGCTGGGAGGCTTCTGTCCAGTTGCCTGTGGAACAGGTGCCAGGGCCCTGGGGCAGGCACTGGGAGATCTGCTTGGGACTCCTCCCTTCAAGTTGGTGTTTGTATATAGATATGCCCCTTGGAAAGGGAGAACCACCCTGCAGGTGGGATGTGGGGTTGGTATTTCACTACAGACTGGAAAACAAAAGGGAGCTGACAGTGCTGGGGGCAGAGGAGCAGCTAGTCTGTCTGGGCACAAAATGTTCTGTGGAGGGTAACTCCTGGGTGGAAGACCTTGCCACCTACCTTCTGTGATCAGATTCTATGCAGCTGAGACATGAATTGTCCCCAGGTGGAGGGGTGGGAAACAAACACACTGTAGATGAAACTGTCCTTAACAAAACCTGGGGAAGGGACTCAGGCCAGTCACAGGCTTGTCAGATGGAGTCCAGCACCTGGGAGAAACGGGTCCTCAGTCTTTCCTTAGCAGAGCAGCTTGTTCCATGAGGTACAAAGGGAAAAGCTGCTTTGGGCAGCTCTTGGTGACACACAGCAGCCACTTCAGCTGTAGAGGTGGTTCTGAAAGCAAGTGACCGTGATTTGTATGCAGCCAGTGGACTGCCAAAAGGTGCTGTCAGTTTTTTGGATGATGAAACCTCAGCTAGTCCAAGGGTTGGTTGAAAATTCTGAGATGGGGATAATGTGCATGAAGAAGAGTGGCCAGCAGGCTGAGGGAGGTTCTCCTTGCCCTTTGCTTTGCCCTGGGGAGGCCACCACTGGAGTATTGGGTCCAGTTCTGGGCTCCCCAGTTCAAGAGAAACAAGGAACTACTGGAGAGAGTCCAGCAGAGGCTGGGAAGCT